CCCAAAGAACAGTAGATTTGGGAATGGGCCGGGTATCCCACTCCTTTATGGTAATAGCAGAATGCCCCTACCCGCTGTTAGGACGGGACTTACTGACCAAGATTGGAGCTCAGATAACTTTCAGACAAGGGGGGCCTCAGGTCACCGATGGCAAGGGCCACCCCATCCAGGTCCTGACCATGAAACTGGAGGATGAATACCGCCTCCACCAGGAGGCGCTCCCGAGAGAGGATAATATAGACAGATGGCTACAAGAATTCCCCTCAGTTTGGGCAGAGACGGGGGCGATGGGACTAGCCGCTCACAGGACCCCAGTCCTGGTAGAGCTCAAGCCAGGAGAGAGTCCGGTAAGGATCAAACAATACCCCATGTCTCAGGAGGCCTGGAAGGGGATCCAGCCACACATCCGGAGACTACGAACCCTAGGGGTACTAGTTCCTTGCCAGTCTGCCTGGAACACCCCCCTACTGCTGGTCAAAAAGCCTCACACAAATGACTACCAACCAGTACAAGACCTCTGGGAAGTAAATAAGAGGGTCACGGACATACACCCAACTGTTCCCAACCCATATACTCTCTTGAGCTCCTTGGTGCCCTCCAGGGTCTGGTATACTGTACTAGATTTAAAGGACGCCTTCTTCAGTCTGAGGCTGGCACCCCAGAGCCAACCCTTGTTTGCCTTCGAGTGGCATGATCGAGAGGAGGGCTACAGTGGGCAACTCACCTGGACATGGCTACCTCAGGGATTCAAAAACTCACCCACCATCTTCAACGAGGCACTACACGAGGACCTGGGTAAGTACAGAAGGGAGCACCCTGGCCTCACCCTTCTACGGTACGTAGATGACATCCTGATTGCTGCCAACATGGCCAAAGACTGTGAGCGAGGGACCCAGGACCTGCTGGCTACCCTGGGGGCCTTAGGGTACTGGGCATCCACGAAGAAGGCTCAGATATGCAGGGAGAGGGTAAGTTACCTGGGATATATCCTGGAGGGCGGACAGCGGCAGTTATCAGGTGCCAGAAAAGAAACTGTCCTAAAGATCCCTACTCCCACCTCCCAAAGAGAAGTGAGGGACTTCCTAGGATCAGCTGACTACTGCCGCCTCTGGGTTCCAGGTTTTGCTGAGATCGCCAGGCCCCTATATGAAGCTACCAAAGAGAAGAAAACATTTAAATGGGCTGAAAAAGAAGAAACTGCCTTTAATCAGTTAAAAAAGGCCCTCCTAAGTGCCCCAGCCCTGGGCCTACCAGACATTACGAAGCCCTTCCACCTCTTTGTAGACGAACATAAGGGAATAGCAAAAGGGGTTCTAACTCAAGCCTTAGGCCCCTGGAACCACCCAGTGGCTTACTTGTCCTCTAGGAAAGTAGACCCAGTGGCTGCGGGCTGGCTGCCATGCCTAAGAATTGTGGGGACAGCACTCCTAGTCAAGGACGCAGACAAACTGACCCTAGGACAGGAGATCTGGATCACGACCCCACACGCCATTGAAGGGGTCCTGAAACAGCCTCCTGATATATGGATGAGCAACACACATGTGACTCATTACCAGAGCCTCCTACTCAACCCTCCACGAGTGCGGTTCCACCCCAGTGCAGCCCTCAATCCTGCAACCCTGCTGCCCGACCCTGACCTAGGTGCTCCACTACATGACTGTGCAGGAATCCTGGAACAAGTATATGGATTCTGGACGGACCTGACCGACCGGCCCCTCCCTGATGCCAAGGCTACTTGGTTCACTGATGGCAGCAGCTTTGTGCGAGACGGACACAGGTATGCGGGTGCAGCGGTGGTCACCGAAACGGACACCGTATGGGCGGAGGCTTTACCCTCTGGAACGTCAGCCCAGCGAGCAGAGCTCATAGCCCTCACCAAGGCGCTGATGCTGGGAGCTGGAAAGCGGCTTAACATCTACACAGACAGCCGTTATGCATTTGCCACAGCTCATATTCATGGGGCAATTTATCAGGAGAGGGGGTTACTGACGGCAGAAGGACGGACTATAAAAAATAAGCAGGAGATACTTAACCTGCTTACGGCTTTATGGCTTCCTGCCAAGCTAACCATTATCCACTGCCAAGGGCACAAAAAAGCTGATAACCCAGTAGCTAGAGGTAACTGAAAGGCTGACCGGGCAGCCAAGGCAGTCGCCCTTACTTCAGTCCCCACCATGACCATACAACTACCAGACCCGGGAGACCCAGTTTTACCAGACCAGCCCAAATACTCCCAGGAGGAGTTACAGCAGATCAAGAAACTCCCCATGGCCCAGGAGATAAAGGGATGGTGGTATACACCTAACAAGGAGCTCATGCTGCCAGACCGGCTCAGAGTCTCAATATTAGAGCACATGCATCGGTCTACTCACATGGGGGCCCGAAAATTAAAAGACTTAATCCGACATGCCAGAATCAAGATTCACCAACAGGACACCAAAATAGAGCAAGTTGTATCTGCCTGTAAGACCTGCCAACTCACCAACGCGAGAGCCACATCAAATAAAAAAGGAACCAGGCTCAGAGGCACCAGACCGGGAGCCCAATGGAAGTCGACTGCACTGAAGTCAAACCAGGAAAGTATGGTTATAAATATCTTTTAGTATTTACAGACACCTTCTCTGGCTGGGTGGAGGCATACCCAACCAAGCATGAAACGGCTCAGAGGGTGGCCAAGAAGCTACTAGAAGACATCTTACCCAGGTATGGTTTTCCTGCCATGGTAGGATCAGACAATGGGCCAGCTTTTATCTCGCAGGTAACACAGGCAGTAGCCAAGGCGGTGGGGGCAAACTGCAAATTACATTGTGCTTATAGGCCCCAGAGCTCAGGACAGGTAGAAAGAATGAATAGAACCCTAAAAGAGAACCTTATCAAATTAACCATGGAGACTGGCGGGGACTGGGTGACTCTCCTACCGTACGCCCTTTACCGGGTTAGAAACACTCCTTACACTCTGAGTTTTACTCCCTACGAGATCATGTTTGGCAGGCCACCCCCTGTTATTCCCAGCCTTCGAGCTGAACTTATTGCTGAGTTTAAAGATCAAGAACTTTTTCTTTCCTTGAGAGGGCTCTAGAGGGCGCATGAGGACATTTGGCCACGCCTCTGTGCCATCTACGAGGCTGGCCCAACCCCGACACCTCATCAGTACAGGCCGGGAGACTGGTTCTATGTCAAGAGGCACCACCGAGAGACCCTCGAGCCGCGCTGGAAGAGACCCTACATCGTGGTGCTGACAACCCCCACCACTCTCAAAGTAGATGGCATCTCGACCTGGGTCCATCACACCCACATTCGGCCAGCGGACCCCTCCTAAATCCGGAAGGACTTCGTCACGTGATGGGCTGTCAGTCGGGACCAACACAACCCGCTCAAGCTCAAGCTACAGCGCATTTGACCCACCTAATATTGGTAACTCTGTTAACTCTGCTTGTCATTGCTCATGCTGCGGGAGTCCCCACACCCCCCAAAACATCACCTGGCAGATCATAGACACCAGCTCAGGGACAATATTTAATCAGACCTCCCAGAGCCACCCCAGGGACACTTGCTTCCCAGAACTTTGTGTAAACCTCCAAACTCTGTTCCCCTTGTCACCATAAATGCAGCCGGCCCCATAATTGGGTCCCTAGGCTACATGACAAGGGGGGAATGAAAGGGCAGGCCTATGCCGGCTGACTCCATCTTGTTCTGTGTCCTTCACCTAGACCACGCCTCCTCCCCTTGAGTAACCTCCCGCTCACCTGTTCAAACTTCCTGATCAAAACACGCCCAGCAACCTGCGTAACAGGACTCTGACCCTAAACCAGCCAATCAGCTGAGGCCACAGCCATTACCTCACCAACTGCCCCTAGACCCCTATAAAACCTTTGTGCTTTTGAAACTCGCTCTCTCTCCCCAGTATCTCACCGCTGCGTCAGTGCAGGTAGGGGATTGAGCTCGAGCTAGCTCGAATAAAGGCTCTTTTGCTTTTGCATCGGACTCAGCTCCCTGGCGGTATTTGAGGATCATGAATTCTGGGCATAACAATTATACCCATTCCCACGTTTGAATGGAGCCTGCCTATAAGCCCACACTTTGAATTCCTCTGTCCCCACAGCCCTGTCCCACGTTCCCAATCCCTTATTCCCAACCTCACTTCCTGATCATCTCTTTAGCTCATTTCTGAACAAATCAACACCTGTATTCACCTCCCTCTTGGGAAAGAAGTCCTAGGGTGGAGTGCCTTGAAGTGGGGCCCAAGTCCACTTCCTCACCCTGAAACAAGCCTCTCTCCTCCATTACCTTCAACGTTGTGCCCTTTCCCTTCCTGGATGCAGGGATGTGTGGTAACCTCTAGAGCGCATTTTAAAGTAGTCATACAAATGAATACTATTTTCTGTTGATTACTTTTGCTCTAAAAATGATTTCATATTGAAATTGGCCTGGAAAGTCGAGTGCCTCTGGATCCCTCAGGTGGTGTTTCCTGAAACATATCTCAGACAAACATGTTCTCCCCTCCCCCACGTTGTTTGTTTCAGTTTACTGCTAAATGCTGATTTCATACTGAGGAGCCTTTTGCAACGTGGTATCTGATTCAAGATTCAAACACCCTGAATGTTGTCATGTCTCCTTTCCACTAGATCTGACCCAGAGGACTGGAGAATCAATCCTTCTGAAGAGGAAAGTTATAATCTTCTGGATTTTCCATTCTCATCTGTTTCTCTGAGGTTGGTCTTGTTTTTTCTCTGAATGTTTATCCCTTGTTGCTTTCCCCAGAGAAGGCAACTCCTCCTTGTGCACTCTCAGGGCTGTCCTGTCTCACCCTGCCCTGTGCCCACACCATCTAGGGTGCCCCTGCCCTTGTCTCCCTCCACTGGGCAGAGTCAAGCAGAATAATAGTTGTGAGGATTTCCCCATCCCCTTCCCACACCCTGGCATGGTCCATACAAGAAGTGGAGATCTGTGATTTATTAGTGTCAGGCGTTGGGCGGGGTAAAGATAGGAGTTAGAGTCAAAAAGAATTTTTTACCGTTTAAGGCTTTATTGGGAACTAAGGTTCCTGGGAAGGTTCCGTGACTCAAGGAGTGAGAGAAGTCAGGAAAGTCATGCCCAGGTAAGGTGGGGTAGGGTTTTTAAGCTGCAGCAGTTCCGGGTTTAGGTTCGGGTGGGTCTTTCTTTCGTGCCAGGTTGTGCTGTTGCTCAGTGATTGGTTGACCTTCAGTTCCTTCTGGCGCACTGCTTGGGGCTCTCCGCTGGGTTGTGCTGGCGCTCGGTGATTGGTTGCCTTTCAGTTTCTTCCCGCGCGCTGGCAAGGTTTCTTCCGGCACACTGGCAAGATGGTTGTCCCCTTCCAGGGACATGCTAACATTCCAACCTCTTATGGGTGATAATGGGCCACGGATCTGATCTGGCTGCTTCCTGCGGGTATAAGGGTGATGCCATAGTATGTGGGATCTGAGGTTGGAATGCGGGAATAGGGCCGGACCACCATTTGATGAAATGCGAACTGGGAAACTTCATGAATTCATTTCCGTATGAAACAGAGAAAACAAGGTAAGAGCATAAGTATTATACAGATAGCAACTAGTGGGGTGACTGTGGGGAGGAGCCAAGTTAAGAGGGGTGATTGCCACCAGGAGGTTAGGGGGTCTGAGGATCCTGGGCGGGTGGATAGAGTTTTTTGGATTTCCTTTAGGTGTTCTATATTGGTTTCAACTAAGCCTGATTCATTGAGGTAGTAGCAACATTCTTCCCTCAGGAACAGGCATGTTCCCCCTTTTTCTGCTGTCAGGAGATCTAGGGCTCATCGGTTTTGTAGAGTGATCTGTGCTAGGGAGTTGATCTGCCTTTGTAAGGTGGATAGGGAGGTTGCTGAGGCTTCTATTGCGATTTGGAGTCTGACAGGTCCCTGGAGGAGGTAATGGAGTGTGCGAGGGAGTCGGTCCCAACCCCGGCGGCCAATAGGGAGGTGGCCAGGGATAGTCCAACCATTAGTGGGAGGAAAACGGCTCGTTTTTGGAGATGGAATTCGAGGAGTTGATGGAGTTCTTCCTGTCCGTATAGGGTGAGTTGGGGGATAATGGTGACTGGGAGACAGACAAAAGCATTTTTTGGCATTTGTTTATAAGCTGTCCCATTATACCAATAGAATCCCCCTGGGGGAGGGTCGTGGCTAGGCATAGGCAGGGGGGAAGGGCAAGTTGGGGAGGCATGAGAGGAGTAGCATATTGGGTGAGACGTGTTGCCTTGAGGGGTCTCAGTGAGGATGGGAACCTGTAGGGAGATTTGACTTCTGGGGTGGTTGATGGAGTTAGTGGTGTTGGGAAAGGGTGTGGGTAATGGGATGGCTATTACTGGATCCTGCTGAAGGGATGCGCAAAGAAAGCAATGTGACAGGTTGGTTAAGCCTGAGTTGTTAAGCAGGATCGCTCCTTGTCTGATGAATGTAAGCCATGAGAAGGGATGTTGTACAGGGGGTGTCTGTAGTTTTGTGTTGAGCTGGTCTTCTTGGTCCGTGATTACTTGGGTAAGATCTTTAAGGTTGGAGAGGGAAGGAGACATTGAGGGCTCATAGGTTCGATAGATGGTTAAAGAGGAGATGGGGTTAGAGAAATGGTTGTTCTGATACAGTTTGTCCTTTATTCCAGTTTGCTAGAGGGTATCCCATGGATCAGGGATAGTAAGGGTAAAGTTGCCATTTTTTAAGCAAAAGCGGCCCGTCCTTGGTCCTGTGAAACAGTATAGGTTGAGCCAGTGTATGTTACAATAGTGATAGGGGTATCCTCCATATTGGTTGGGGGAGGTTTGGGAGCATATCTTGGTTTCGTCATATAAAAAGCAAATGGCGGGAGTAATCCGTGTGGAGGCTTGGAGGGTGTTGAAAGAGGGGAATTTAAAGGTGACTTGATTTTGGCACCCAACAATGGGGCAAGGGGTAGAGGATATGATAGAGGTGTGTCCATTAAAAGTTTCGGATAGGTGGGGCGCCTGGGTGGCGCAGTCGGTTAAGCGTCCGACTTCAGCCAGGTCACGATCTCGCGGTCCGGGAGTTCGAGCCCCGCGTCAGGCTCTGGGCTGATGGCTCAGAGCCTGGAGCCTGTTTCCGATTCTGTGTCTCCCTCTCTCTCTGCCCCTCCCCCGTTCACGCTCTGTCTCTCTCTGTCCCAAAAATAAATAAACGTTGAAAAAAATTTAAAAAAAAAAGTTTCCGATAGGTAAAAAACCCACCTATAGGAGGGTTGTGAGGGTATAAGGGGGATGATGTTAACAAGGAGTAACAAGGGAAGTATCATCATGATATATAAGTATCGTTAGCAAAAAGGTAAAGAAGGAGATTTCGATGGGGGAGAAATCGGAGAGAGTTCCCTGAGGCCAACAGTCGAGACCCAGGAGAGAAATAAGGGGAGGGTGATGGGGTCAGATGAGTGGGAGAGTTGTAGCTCATGTAATATTGTGAGTGTGAAGGTGGAAAACCGAGGGGAAGGGTCAGTCATGAAGGGGCCTGTCAGGTTAGTTTGAGGGTGAGGGGGCTGGTTGGCTGGGAGGTCCACGACTCTTCTAGTATGGGGGGTAAAGGGGGGGGCCTGCTTGAGGTCGGAGGTGTGAACCCACAGGCTGTGGCCCAATAATTTAGTAGCCGTGGGGGTTGTGAGTATGACTGTGTAGGGACCCTCCTATCGGGGGGCAAGGGTTGGTTTTTGTCTTACTCGAAGGAGCACTGAGTCTCCTGAGTTTACAGATAGTGAAGGAGAGGAGAGATCGATGGGAGCTGGTAGAGTAAGGTCAGCGTACTGTCGAATCAGGTGTTGGAGCAGGCTGAGGTAAGGAAGATAGGCAGCCAAAGGAGGAAGGTCTTTTGGTAGGGGTTGGGGTAACAGGAAGGGTCGCCCATATAGGAGTTCAAATGGGCTGGGGCCTGTGGGTCCTCAGGGAGAGGCTCAGAGTCAGGTGAGTGCTATAGGTAGGAGTTGAGGCCAAGAAAGCCGAGTCTCTATGGAGAGTTTAGTGAGATGGTCTTTTATGAGGCCATTGGCCCTTTCAACCTTACCTGAGGACTGGGGGTGGTATGGTATGTGGAGTTTCCAAGTAATACCTAAAGCTTTGGAGACCTGTTGGGTGATTGCTGAGATGAAAGCAAGGCCCGTTGTCAGACTGTATCCTTCTCGGTAGACCAAAGTGGGGAATCACGTCCTTAAGAAGGATCTCAGCCACTGTGGAGGCCCCTTCAGATAAGGTGGGGGAGGCTTCTATCCACCCTGTAAAGGTGTCAATTATAGTAAGGAGATAACGTAATTTTTTGTGTTTTGGCATGTGAGTGAAATCTATTTGCCAGTCTTCACCTGGGAGATGGCCCCGCATCTGATGAGTGCCTCATTCTCCCTTGGGAACTGACTGCAGCACATGTGGTGCATTGTTGGTGTGTTTTGGTGATCAGTTGTCATAGGTGGGGGTGGTACATAATGAGCTCAAGGAAGCGGAAGGTGGCCTCCGGCCCAATGTGTAGGGTTTTGCAAATTTTTGTTAGTAGGGAAGGGACTAGGCTATTTGGGAGGGCCAGTCGGGCACCCAGCATGATCCAGCCTGCGTTGGTGTGGGCATTGGGATGGGCCATATATTGTTTTTGTTCATCTGGGGTATAATCGGGAGTTGTATCTTCAGTGAGGATGCCCATAGGAACTGGGTCAAAAGAGAGAGAGCTGTTTGTCTAGCAATGTTGTCAGCCTTGTGATTTCCTATAGCTATCTCTGTGGTTAGGGGTTGATGGCCCTTGCAGTGGACAATGGCACTTCCTGTGGGAGTCTGAGGGCCTCAAGGGGTTTCTCTATGAGTGGCCCGTTGATGATGGGGGTACCCTTAGTTGTGAGGAATCCTCTTTCTTCCCATAAGTGGGAGTGTGTATGTGCAATAAGGAAAGCATATTTTGAGTCTGTGTATATTGTGACCCTTTTGTTTTTGGACAGTTGGAGAGCCCTAATGAGGGCTGTGAGTTCAGCCTTCTGGGATGTGGTCCCTGTGGGTTGTGTCTGGGTCTCTAGAGTTTGGTTTAATGTAACTACAGCATATGCTGCTTGTCGGTGGCCCCTGCAGTCAACTACTGAGCTACCGTCTACAAATAGGGTGAAATCAGGGGAAGTGAGGGGAAGGTCCTTTAAATTAGATGGAGGTTTAGAGAGAATATCTTTAAGTTCAGTGCAGGAGTGAAAGAGTGGCTGTGAAGTGTCTTTGGGGTTGATTTGTGGAAGTAGCATGGCAGGATTGAGTCTGGGGGAGAGTTGGAGAGATATTTCAGGATTTTCAATAAAGAGCAGATGGAACAATTGTATGTGTGATGGGGAGAGGTGTGCCAGGGCCTTATGTGTAAGGAGATCAGATAGACAGTGGGGTGAAAATACCGTTAGGGGGCAGTGTAGGGTGAGTTTGAGTGCCTCTTGGGTTAGGGTGGCTGCTGCTGCAAGTGCTCTAAGGCAGGGTTGCCACCCCCGGATGGTAGGGTCCAGTTGTTTAAAAAGGTAGGCGACAGGTTGTAACTTAGGGCCACACGGTTGGGTTAGGAGACCTGTTGCAATTCCAGCCCTCTCATCTGTGTATAAGAGGAAAGGCTTTGAAACATTAGGAAGGGAAAGGACTGGTTGAGTGACTAGAGATGTGACCAGCCATTGGAAGGCCCTTGTGACAGATCCCGGGCTGGAGAGTGGGCCTTGGGGGGTTTCTTTGGCTGCTTTGTATAGGGGGGCTGCGTGTATAGCAAAGTTAGGGATCCAGTGTTGGAGAAGCCCACTAGACCCAGGAAGGAGAGGATTTCATCTGCATTGGCAAGTGGAGACAGGGTCTGGAGGGCTTGGAGATGATCTTGGGTTAGGTCCTTGGTAGTAGGTGTGAGTGAGACTCCCAGGAATGTGACTGTATTAGTACAGATTTGGGCTTTGTGTGGGGAGACTCGATACCCCAGGTTAGCCAGGAAATTTAGGATCTGGACTGTATCTTGTTTGGTGTGGTCAAAAGAGGTTCCACATAATAGAAGGTCATCTACGTACTGTAGTAGAGTACAGTGACTGGAGAGTGGGGCTTTGAGGAGATCCCTGGTCAAGGCCTGCCCAAAGAGACGGGGACTATCACGAAATCCCTGGGGAAGTACCGTCCATGTGAGTTGGCAGGCCAGAGAGGTGACTGGATCTTGCCATGTGAAGGCGAAGAGGAATTGGGACTCAGGATGTAAGGGAATGGTGAAAAAGGCATCTTTGAGATGAAGCACTGTAAAATGGGTCATGGATGGGGGGAGAGGAGGGTATATGGGTTGGGCACTACTGGATGGATGGGAATTACAGCTTCATTGATTATTCGGCGGTCTTGAACTAGTCTATATGAGCCATTTGGCTTTCTTACAGGCAAGATCGGGGTGTTACAGGGGGAATGACATGGGATTAGGAGGCTCTCCTTGAGTAGGCATTCAATGATGGGCTTTAGGCCTAGTTGGTGGGTGTGGGAAATTGAGTATTGGGGTCTAGATGGGAATTGTGATGGATTTTTGAGTTTAATAAGGACAGGTTGGTGATGGGTGGCGATTGTTGGGGTGGATGTATCCCATATGATTGGGTCTACTGGGAGGTCTGGGTGTGAGTTGAGGCTGTGGTCTGTGTCATCCGTAATAAGGGCCAGTAGGAGATGAGTGGGGGAGGGAGAGGAGCAAATAGCTGGTAAATGTATAGAGGCTCCTAATTTACTGAGGATGTCTCGGCCCAACTGGGGGGATGGGGCAGGAGGGGATGACTAGGAAAGAGTGGGAGAAGTGGAGGCCATCCAGACAGCAGGTGAGTACAGGTGTGCATGGGGGAATGGAGGGGGTGCCATTTATGCCCATGACCGAAATGGAGGATGGCGTAGTGGGGCCGGAATAGCTTGGCAGGACAGAATAGGTAGCCCCCGTGTCCAACAGAAAGGAGATGGACTTACCTGCTACCTGGAGTTTTACCCTGGGCTCAGCATGGGTCACCGGAGTTACTGAGTCTGGGCCTCATCAGTCATCATCCTCCATCTCCAGCAGTTGGAAGGCAGAGTCCAATCCGGGTGAAGCCTTGCCACGTGGAGGTGTTACGAGTCTGTTATCCCTTGGGTTAGGACAATCAGATTTCCAATAGCCCATTTTCTGGCACAATGGGCATGGACTGGTAGGCTTTTTGGGATGGGGACACTGAGGAGACCAATGGCCTTCTTGGCCACATTTAAAACAAAGCCTGGGAGGGGGCCATGGACCAGAGGGCTTTACTGCGGTGGGCCTCAGGGCAGCTACCAAGGCTTGGGTTTATAATTGTACCTTTTGTTGGAGACAGACCTGTCGCTGTTGTTCTTGAGCTTCCTCTCCGCCATTAAAAACTTTAAAAGCTGATACTTGGTAGGGCTTCTGGGAAAACGGCGGCGTAGGAGGACACTGAGCTCACCGCATCCTGCGGATTACTTAGATTCCACCCACACCTGCCTAAATAACCCAGAAAATCGCCAGAAGACTGGCAGAACGGATTCTCCAGAGGCAAGCGTAGATGAGAGGTCCACGGAAGAGGGTAGGAAGGGCGGAGAGGCAATGCGCACTACATGGACTGGCGGGAGGGAGCCGGGGTGAAAAGGCAGCCCGCCAGCAAAGCAGAGGCCCCGAGTCTGGCTTGCAAAAGCAGAGGGGCCAGAGTGTGTTCTGACAGCAAGCAGGACTTAACATCTGGAAGGTTATAAGTTAACAGCTCTGCTTGGAGAGCGGGAGGGCTGGAGGATAATGGGAGGGAGAGTTGTTGAGCCCCGGATGACAGAGCGCAGCTTTGTGGGGACAAAGGAACTCACCAGTGCCCTCACTCATCCCCCAGCCAAAAACCCAAAGGGAACCAGTTCCTGCCAGGGAACTTGCTTGCACCGTGCAAACACCAAATGCTGTGCTTCTGCGGATACATCCCTCCGGCGGGTCTGACTCCCTCCTGGTGCTGCAGGGCCCCTCCCGAAGCGGATCTCCGAAGGAAAAGCGAGCTGAGCCTGCCCCTCTGCCCCTGTACACCTTGCCGATCCACTCCAGCTAATACACCAGATCCCCAGCACCACAAGCCTGACAGTGTGTAAGTAGCCCAGACTGGCCATGCCACCCCACAGTGAATCCCGCCCCTAGGAGAGGGAAAGAGAAGGCACACACCAGTCTGACTGTGGCCCCAGCAGTGGGCTGGGGGCAGACATCATGTCTGACTGTGGCCCCGCCCACCAACGCAAGTTATTCAAGACAGCACAGAGGAAGTGCCCCGCAGTCCCACACCACTCCAGGGACTATCCAAAATGATGAAACGGAAGAATTCCCCTAAAAAAACTGCTATAATGTCCCAGTTCATAACGACAGCTAATGAACTGATCAAAAACGATTTAAACAATATAACAGAAAGTGAATTTAGAATAATAGTCATAAAATTAATCACTGGGCTTGAAAACAGTATAAAGGACAGCAGAGAAACTATTGCTACAGAGATCAAGGGACTAAGGAACAGTCAGGAGGAGCTAAAAAATGCTATAAATGAGCTGAAAAATAAAATGGAGACAACCATGGCTCGGATTGAAGAGGCAGAGGAGAGAATAGGTGAACTAGAAGATAAAATTATGGAAAAAGAAGAATCTGAGAAAAAGAGAGATAAAAAAATCCAGGAGTATGAGGGGCAAATTAGAGAACTAAGTGATCCAAGAGACAGAACAATATGTCCCAAATGAAAGAATAGGACAAAATCACAGCAAGAGACCCAAACCAAATGGAGTTAAGTAAAATGCCTGATAAAGAATTTAAACTAATTGTCATAAAAATACTATATTTGAGAAAAGAGTAGAGGAGTTAAGTGAGATCCTTAACAAAGAGATAGACAACGTAAAAAAGAACCAATTAGAGATGCAGAGCTCAATAACCAAAATTAAAAGTAACACTAGATGAAGTAAACAGTAGACTAGAGATGGCAGAAGAATGTGTCAGCAACCAGGAGACAGGGTAATGGAAAGCAGTCAAGCTCAACAAGAAAGGGAAAAAGATGATAAAAATGAAAATAGACTCCAGAAACTCAGTAACACCATCAAGCATAATAATACTTATATTCTAGGGATCCCAAAAAGAGAAGAGAGAAATGGGGAAGGACATTTCTTTGAAGAAATAATAACTGAAAATTTCCAAAATCTGGGTAAGGAAACAGAAACTGAGATCCAAGAGGCACAGAGGGCTACCAATAGAAACTGCCCAAGGGTGTCCACCTTGAGACCCATAGTAATTAAAATGGCATAAAGTATTGATAGAGAATTTTAAAAGCAGCAAGAGAAAAGAAAAGTGCTACATACAAGAAAATCTCATAAGGCTATCAGCTGACTTTTTTTGGCAGAAACTTTGCAGGCCATGAGGGAGTGGCATGATATTGCAAGTACTAAAAGAAACCTTGTAGCCAAGAACACTCTATCCAGCAAGGCTATAATTCTGAATAGGAGAGATAAAGAGTTTCCTAGACAAACAAGAGTTAAAAAGAAATTCATCACCCTAAACCAGCATTACAAAAATTTAAAGGGGACTCTGAGTGGAAAGGAAAGAAAGACCAGGGGTAAGGAAAGGAAAGGAATGGAACATAGAAGCAAGAAAAATAGGAAGCTCAAAAGCAGTAAAAATAAGTTTAGCTATAAAAATCAGTCAAGGCATTCACAAAGTAAAAGGATATAAAGTATCTGATACCATGTACCTGAAACATGAGTGGGAAAGGAGTAAAGAATATGTTCAAATGTAAGCGACTATCAACTTAATGTAGATTTCTATATGAAGAAAATGTTATATACAAATATAATGGTAACCACAAATCTAAGTGCAGTAATAGATATGCAAAAAAATGAAGATAAAGGAATCCAAGTGTATCACTAAAGAAAACCACCAAACTGTGGGATGAAAGAACAAGAGAACAAAGAGAACTACAAACACAAACGCAGAACAAATAACAAAGTGGTAATAAGTTACATACCTATCTATAATTCCTTTGAATGGAAATGGACTAAATGCTCCAGTCAAAAGACATAGGATGATGAAATGGCGAGAAAGCAAGATCCATCATATGTTGCCCATATGAGACTCACTTTAGATCTGAAGACACATGTAGATTGAAAGTGAAGGAATGGAGAAGTATTTATCATTCAAATGGAAGTGAAAAGAAAGCTGAGGTAGCAATACTACTATCAGAGCAAAGACTGTAACAAGAGACAAAGAAGGACACTACATGATCATAAAAGGAACAATCTAAGAAGACGATGGAACAATTGTAAATATGTATGCACCCATAATGGGAGCACTCAAATACATAAGGCAGCTAATAACAAACATAAAAGAAGTAATAAACAGTAATACAATAATAGTAGGGGCTTTCATACACCATTCAGATCAATGGATAGATGATTGAAACAGAAAATCAAAAAAGAAATAGTGGCTTTGAATGACACTTTGGA